TTAAAGGAACTATAATAATAAAATCTAATAGAAATGAAGGGATTTTTAAAGTGAATATAAAAAGAAACATGCTTCTCTCAGTGGTATACTCATCTTACAGTATACTCATCTTGCAGTGCTCAATTTTTATTCACTAAGGAAACATTTATTTGAGGCCATGTAGTCACTCGGTTGGATTGGCTACCCTCCGCCCTGTTTCTGCTGACACCCCATTTTCAGTCGGGAAGCTGCTGTGAACAAAGAATTTACAGATGACCACTGAAGACCAGGAGGAAGCTGTGAAAAGTAGGTCAAAGACATTCGCCCAGAGGGCCCTGGCCTCAATATGTGCAAGGCCATCGCGTGCGGAGATGTGAACTCCTCCTTGCGTGTGGTCCCCAGGGCTCCATTCCAACCCACTCATGCGGCAGGAGCCACAAGTTGCCCTTGGATCTCTCTCCTCTCTCACTCCTCTGGGTCACCTCCCACCCCCCACCCCCCATGGATGTCTGAGACCCCCATCTCTACCATCTCTGACACTGGCCAAATAAGAAAACAAGTCTCATCCTATGCTAGGCATTGCTGCAAATGCGTGGCACGCATTGATTCTAATCCTTCAAACCATCTCCCTTTACAGGGGGGAAATCTGCCTCAAGTGAAGGAGGGAGGGCAAGGTGGGACGTGCTCTCAGCACCAAACCCCGGGGTCATCAATGCGCCTTCACTGTTACACGCAGCGCTGCACTGCATGACTGTGTGCAAACATCTCTTCCCATTTGTGCAGGGACATGTGCAGAATATTTCCCCAAAGGCGGGTTCATTACACACGCGCTTGTAAACCCCATCACTTTCTCTGTCATAACCTGTAGCTCCGTGAGAGCAGGGCACACCTTCGGCAGGTTCCTCAGGCACCTATTATTAGCACACAGCAGAGATGCAATAAATATTATATTCATTTCTTCTTTCACTCATTCAATAAATAGTTATTGAACACCTGTTTTGTTCCCAGCACTGTTCTGGGTGCTGGGGAATATGTTGGTGAACAAATCAGGAAAAACTCTCAGCTCTAAGGGACCTGACAATCTAATGTGAGTTCCAGAGCAAATGAACCAATCAGTAAATTCATGATGTATTAGGAGGTGATAAATACTAAGGAAAATAAGGCAAAGAATGATGGCATACAGGAGCTACCATTGAAATGAGTGGTCAACAGACCAATAAATGCATAAAATATTTCTGATGGGGATATTTATTTCAGCAGCATTCAGTCGTGAAAATATTTAAACAATTCAAGGGTCTGATAATGAAGGAGAGACAAGCTGCCCTACTGAGCTGTTCTGAGGTTTAAATCAGTTGACAAAAAGCAGAAAGTGTGGAGCCTGAGAACCTAACTTCTACCTACAGCATTGTTTCAGAGGAAAATAGGCTTCATTCCCCCAAACCAACTAAATGTCAATAAAATCTGCTTTTCATAAATTGAAAACCATTTTCACAAACACCAGTGCACTGACAATCCATCAAGAACAAAGTCTGACTTGTTAGTTTCTGACCTTCAAAATTCTGTGCAAATTTCCAACTGAAATCATTTTCATGCTGAAGATCTTCGCATGAGAAAGAAAGCATCTTTTTTAAACATTTTTTTACATTATTTTGAGGAAGCAAGAATATTTTGCAGATGAGGATTTAGCAAAATGAAATTCAATGTCAAACGTTGAATTTCTTCCAAAAGAAGAATTGGTCAGCATACATACACAGACACACAGACACACACACACACACACACACACACACTCCATACACTAAGTGTGGACCTTAAAATCAGAAATGATGCAGATATTACTGCAGGTCTACTTCTACTGGAAATGACATCTCCAAGTGTTCGTTTTAATCTTGTAGCATTAGGAATAAAGCATAGTGTAATAATAGGAATTATTAAATTAAAGCATAGGAATAAAGCCAAGTGTAATAATAAGCCATTGATTCTACTTCATTAAAACACACCCATGCAGGATATTTACGTAGCATCAGCACAAATTTGGTTTGAACAAGTCCAGTCTACTTAGGAGAGCCTTGCTATGCAATTTGGATGCAGCTCCCAAGAGATGTGAATTAACACTAAACATACAACATCAAAGAATAATAGAATGGATGCTTCTTGCCAATTCTGGTTACCTAGGCTGTGTAGCCTCCTGGTTTGCAGTCCATACCTGTGATGTTCTGTTTATGCATTAAAAGGATGTAATGCCCTGTCCTTTCAACCAGAAGATTTGGAGTTCAATTTTTACCACAGATGCTCAAAGTACCAAGTACAGTTCAAATTCTCTTTTAAAAAGTTTTTCTAAATTAGCAGTTTTCCGACCGAATGCTGCAGATGGTCAGGAAGGCTCAGCTTTTGTTAATAATACTTTAGCCCGGGTGGTAGGTTCTGGATTTCAATAACCCAGTGTCCCCCAATTCCATGAGTGTGTGGGGTGAGCCAGACCAGCCCCTCGCCCCCACCTCACCACCCTCTACGACCCTGGAAGCCTGGGGACATGCCGCACTCACCGGGTGTCTGATCCTGCACAACCAATTCTTCCAGACCAGGGCCCGGAACTGGCGCCCCACCCGCCCCATGCCTGCCTTCCAGGGCCCTCAGGACTCCGGCCCCAAGCACCCGGCTTATATTGGCCTCCTGGGCGAGGCCGCTGGGGATTAGTCAAGTCCAACAAAAGTGAGTGATGCAAGACAACCTGCAGGCAACTGAACAAGGCGGCATCGAATGTCCTCCTGCTCTGCATGTGTTGAGAAATCTTACCTTCTCGCTCAGTCCAGCATCGGGGAGAGTGGGGTTACAGAGGCAGCCTCCGGGCCCTGTAGGCGCGCACACTTCCAAGGACCCACGCAGCTGCGGAGCGCGCAGCCAGGAGCAATGCTCACATTAGCGCGGCCCCTTTCCCCTTGATGTTAACCAGATGGAGTTACCCCCAGCCCTCCCTTGAAACCTCTGCTGTCACACCAATCCACGACAACAGGCTCCATTTCAGACGCCCGGTGGTAGGTCATCAGTGGAAAGGAGATGGGAGGACAGAGGGAAGCAGTGTTAGTCTCCGGGGGATGGAAAGAAGATGCTTCAAGTTCCGCTGCGCTGTCACACACCCCCCTTAATCCACGTGTTTCATCTGTTTTCCCCCAAAAGCCCAGGAGGCCTGGCCGACCTCTCCTGGTTCTGTGAGTAAACCCCCTATGCTCTCCCATCTGTAATTTATCGCTGCCCCTGGAGAAAAGCAACTGACAGAGCTCTGGGCGCCCCATTGAAGAGCAGTGAGAACCAGCAAGCTGCCGGCTCCTCTGAGCCCGGCTGGTTTCCCCACACCTTTAGCTTCCTGACCAGCTGGAGATTTCAGCTGGGCAGCAGTTGCTCCGTCCTCCTAGTGGCCAAGGCTCCTGGGTTCCTGTGGACTCGGTGTTGTGGTCAGGAGGACGTCAGGCAACCAGATTCCTGTAATCTTCCATTTCATAAAGCCACTTTCACAAGCTACTAATGTTCTATCAGTGGGCTTTGCAACAGGAAAGAGCACAGGCTTCAGCAGAGTCAATTATCCTACAAACCTATTTTATAAAAGAACATCATTTTCAAATGGTATTCTAGGGGACTTCCCTGGTGCTACAGTAGTTAAGGTTCTGGGTTTCCAATGCAGGGAGTGCAAGTTCCACCCCTGGTTGTGGAACTAAGATTTCACATTGCTGTGCATGAGACCAATATGTAAATAAAATTTAAATATTCTTTTATTTGTTAGGCTTCCCAGGCAGCGCTAGTGGTAAAGAATCCGCCTGCCTATGTAGGAGACTCAGGTTTGATCCTGAGTTGGGAAGATAGCCTGGAGGAGGAAATGGCACCCCACTCCAGTATTCTGGTCTGGAGAATTCCATGGACAGAGGAGCCTGGTGGGCCACAGTGCTTGGGTTTGCAAAGAGTCAGACATGAGTGAGGGTCTGAGCACTGCTTTTATTTGTAACCCAGGTGGAAGCACCAAATTGAAGGTCATGGGGGTGGAGGGGAAGCGCACAGTCCTGCCTGATGTTCCAGCCACAGGTGGCCTCCCACTGCTACTGCTGCTAAGTCACTTCAGTCGTGTCCGATTCTGTGCAACCCCAAAGACGGCAGCCCACCAGGCTTCCCCGTCTCTGGGATTCTCCAGGCAAGCACACTGGAGTGGGGTGCCATTGCCTTCTCTGCAGGTGGCCTCCACTCCTTCCTAAAACCCAACCCTTTTGCAGACAACACTTCACATCCCAGGGGACTGTCATTCTTCTTTAAAAAAATCCAGTGTAAGGAAAAGCCCCCAAGCATGGAGTTTCCCCCATTTCATCTCACAGCAGCCAGCGCTCTGCTCCCTTGCCCGCGGCTTCACTCACCCTTCTTCGGAACCATGCCATAAGCGTGGCATTCAGGTCCCAGTTGCACCAGTGAAGGGGGCTCCTGCCAGGGCCACTGTCCAAGATTCAAAAAGTGACTTTTAGTTAAACAGAGAATTGCCAGGTGACTATGCAATTCCAGTGCTAAGTATAAACCGCTAGGAATCCAAAATGGGAACGCCTCTGGGTCCAGACACACCCACGTCCCCTGCAGCACATTCACAACTGCCAAAAGCTGGAATCACGCACATCCAGGAAGCCACGAGTGGGTCAACACATGGTGGTGGATACATGCATGAAACGGTCAAATGCGGACACCGCAATAACACTGAAGATGCCCAGTGGAGGAAGGCGGACAGGAGAGGCCACACGCCTGAGTCCTGCACACGGGCGTGGGCAGAGGCAAAACCACAGAGCGTGAAGCCGGTGAGAGAGCTGGAGCTAGAGTCAGGGAGGCGATGTAGGGGTGCAGGGCGCAAGTCAGCCTCCCCAGGGGAGGCCGCGCTCGGGGACCAGGTAACAGAGGTGGTCGCACCCGTGGACGCACTGACCGTTCACTGTCAAATGGCCAGTTTTATGTCAGGTGCCCGTGTCCCTCAGGGAGCTACAGTTCAGCGACTGTCCTCAGCCACTGGGCCGCGCTGACCCGAGGCTGAGGTGGGGTGCCGCGCGGCCGAAGAACCAGCGTCTGAGCCTGGCAGCTTGGGCCACGCTGGCCCCTCGCGGGGACAAATCTGTGGACCTGCCGCGTCCACGTCCCCACGAGTCAGGCGGGAGCGGCTGCGGTCGGTTCGCCCGAGCGAAGCCAGGTGGACGCTTCTCCCAGACGGTGCCCACCCTCCCCGGCGCTCCGCACATCTGCCCCCCGGCGACAGCGGCTCCTCGCGCGCACACGCGTGCACACGCAGGCACACACACACATGAACGCACACGCACGCACACCCAGGCGTAGGCAGAAGGGCACGCACGTGCACACGGAGATGTGGCGGCCCGCGGCCGGCCTGCTGCTCCAGCTCGTGGGTGGAGGGGACACCGCCCGCCTACCCGACCCGGCCCGGCGACCCGAGCTCCTCGTCCTCCACACTGGGCGCATCCGCCTCCAGTCCCGGCCGCTCGAGAGCGCAGCCTCTGAGGGTAACGTGCTGGCTAGAGACCCGAGGCGAGTCCTGCAAAACCTCCACGGGGCTTGAGGACGCTGGCGGTCGTGGGGGCCAGCGGCGCACGCAGGTTCCCCCGGTTGCTGCCCGCGCCCCTCTACAGGACTGCCCCTCACCCGTCTCCCCGCCCCCCAGAAATCTCCCAGGGTGCGAACCGGCCCAGTGCCGGCCGCAGCCAACCTCTGGCCGCTCTTCTCCAGTAGCCGGCTGAGCCCGTAGGCAGCTGTAAGCAATAATCGCGTAATAACAATTGTATAGCAGGACGGCTGGGGGATCGGAGTGAGACCCCAGCAGCACGGATGGCGCCCCCACAGAGGGAGTGGCTCCTGTGCGGAGACGGGAGGGGGCTGCAAGACTCCGCATCCCCACACACACAACCTAGAGAAAAGAAGAAAGGAACCTGGGCCCCTGGAACTCCCACCGGGGGCGCAGCCCCGACAAGGAGCCTGTGTCATGCTCGCTGAGGCACCAGGAGTGCTGTTACCTTGGCATGGCCCACGGGGCGCTTTTCAGGACACCGACCCTCCGTTACCCTCCCCTCCCCTCCCCTCCCCTCCCCTCCCCCTTCCTACCCTCCTACTCCTCTCCCTCCTCCCACTCCCGTCCCCCATGGATCCCGGGTTACAGTGATCCCGCCTTCTGCCTGTCCTTTTGGGTGGGGTTCCCCACCCAAAACCCCGTGCAGCAGGCTCCCAGACTGTCCAGCACCAAGAGCACCCACCTGTTGCCCACAAACACACAGACACACACACAGACACACCAGCCATCTTACTCAGACAACCTCCTGTATCACATTCTCTATGCAAGGGCCATCACATCCAGAGAGAAGCATGAAAGCTCAAATGTCACCATGACAATCAGAGGAAGACACGGTGAGAGGAGGCTCACCCATCCCTCTTTGTTATAATGCACAAAAATGAAGGTTTGGTGCTTCATCGGTGATTAGGAAACAGGAACTGTGAAACCTATATCACAAGGTAAGTGGAGGAAGAAAAGGAGTGTTATGGATGGAATTGTGTCCCCCCAAATTTATATTGAAGCTCTAACCCCCGATGTGTATTTGGAGATCAGACCCTTAGGGTGATCAGACCCTAAGGCTGAATGAGGTTGTAAGGGTGGGCCCTGACTCAACAGGACTAGTGTCCTTACCAGAAGAGGAGACTAGAGATCACTCTCTTTCCACGCGCACACAGAGGAAAGGCCACGTGCGGATCCAGCCAGAAGGTGAGCGTCTACAAAGCAGGAAGAGAGGCCCCACCAGAAGCCAACCCTGCTGACGCTTTGGCCTTAGATGCGCAGCCACCTGGGCTGCCGTGTTCTGCTTTGGCAGCCCTAGGAAGCCAGTGCAGGAGTCTTACAGAAGGGGTCTGGGCGGCTAGATTTGCATCTGTGTCTCTGCAGGTGAGGCTTGCTGGTGCTGGCAACTTACCCAGATCTGGGCGTTCCTCTGGTCATGGAATACACTCAGATCATGGAGTTAGCAGAAAAGTCTTTGAAAGGATCCTGAGAATGGAACTCCTGGAGATTTTCTGTAAAGCTGACGTTTTACAGAAACGTCAAAGCTTTACACAGGGGGAACTGGTCACTTGCATTAGCACAGACTACTGAGTGATCTGTGCCGGGCACACAATATGCCTCAGACACCTGTCATTACAAATCAGGATTCTCTTCACTGACCCTTTGTCAGAAGGCATCTCATACCAGTTTATAAAGATAACATTTGGCTTCAGAAGTGATCACAGGGCCTGCCCCCAGGATCTGCTCTTTGCCCACCCTCACCCCACCCACCACTCCTTCATCCCACTGCCACTCAGCTGGATCCTTTGCATGAAGGTCTGACTCCCAGCAAGAGGGGTTAGGTTAGCAGAATGGAGGAAAGGCCAGGCACGCAGAGGGGAGGGTCGGAGGGCTGATTCCAGCCCTCTTCTATCCCAGCTGCACTTTGGTCCCACTCTCCTTAAACAGGCCAGTTTCCCCAGCCCTGCCAGTGAGTGAGTGAGTGAGTGCTCAGTCGTGTCCGACTTTTTGCGACCCAGGGACTGTGGCTGGCCAGGCTCCTCTGTCCATGGAATTTTCCAGGCAAGAAAACTGGAGTGCGTTGCCATCTCCTACCCCAGAGGATCAAACCCTCGTCTCTTGTGTCTCCTGCATCGGCAAGCAGATTCTTCACCACTGCCCTACCTGGGAAGCCTTCCACAAGGGCTTTCTCCAGGCTCCCAAAGAGACAACCACATCTTCAGAGAGTAGGCTGTGAATTTGAATGCAGGAGATTACTTTATACACATGGCTGGTCCCTCTGAAAGGATATGGTAATGTCATTTGAAAGTTATAATGCAAATTCTTCAGGATCTTCAGGTAAAATTGCCCCTTTGTCTCTGTTTAAAAGTTTTATTAAAATTAGGGACAATAAGCAATTAGAAGTTTCATAGCAGAAAGAATTTCCATGACCCACTTGTACCTTATTTAATTGCAATTTTTATTATAAATCTTGAAAAATAATAACCTCGTGGGCAATTTAAATAATGTACTTTTCTCTGATACTGAAATTCTGTCTTTCTAATTTCAATAATTTCCCATGAATCTGAATTAGTTTCTCTTTTTCCTCTAATAGAACACCATAATACCAATTTGGATCTAAAGGATGTGCATTCAAAAGGCAATAAATTGACTGGAATATGTGGTTTTCATCCTCTAATGCCACCTGGTGCCCACTGAGCTAAGAAAATGAAAAGATATCCTCAGCAATCCACTAAGAACAGTGAGAGGAGAGTTGCCCAAACCTATGACCCAAATATACCAGCATAGTGTAGGATTCCTGTAGTCCCTCTAGACAAGCTGAGGCCTGAATCATGCTTCTTGTACCTTCCATTTGAGTTGTATTTCTCCAGGAGAAAACATGAAATGTGATCTGTTTACCCTATGGCCAGAGAGTTGAGCTTTTTTTAATTATTTCTTTATTTCTTTGGCTCACAAGATCTCTTAGTTGTGGCATGCAGACTCCTAGTTGCAACATGTGGGCTCTAGCTCCCCAACCAGGGACTGAAACCAGGCCCTCTGCACTGGGGATGAGGCATATCAGCCACTTCAGCACCAGGGGAAGTCCTGGGAGTTGAGTTCCAATTGGGAAACACGGGGCCACATGCACGGTGGGCTTCCTCTGCCCCACTCTGCCACACTGCCATCTCCACTCCACCAGCCTCACGACGGGTTCAGGAGACAGTGGAGAACCAGCCCTGCACACTCAGGCCCCTGTGGTGTCCCAGCCCCACCCTGGAGATAACGTGAGAAGGAAGAGAGTGGCTAAGAGTCTCCTGTAAAAAAATAAAATCTTTCCATTCAGGTTTCCCCAAGAATCCCATCTGGTTACATCAGACAACTTTATCTGGACTCCCAGAAGAGGAGACACACAGACAAAAATCAATGAATAGCCCTCCAAATAACTCTGCCTTATATCTGGACCAGTGGCCTCTTGACCTAAAAGCTCAGATGTTGAGTCTGGTTCTGGTTACAATGGATTAGGCATTTTCTATCCTTCCTGTCCCACTGAGAGCAGCTAAAACTCCTGGATAGAATATAGAAAGTAACTATTGGAAAACTGAATAGCAAATCAGACTCGAACATTGATCCATATGGTGGTGAGTTTCCTCTTTGTTTTAAGGGGTTTGGGAGGCATTCCTTCCATACTGCCTGCTTGACAGTTGAGAGTCCCCCAAGTCTTGGAAATGTGAAGAAACTCAGATGGGGAAGCTCCCAGAATAAAACCTCTTCCTTGAGCCAGAGGAGGTACAAAGAGAGCTCACGGACTTCTCTGATGGTCCAGTGGATAAGAATCTGCCTGCCAATGCAAGGGACACGGGTTCGACCCTGGCCCGAGAAGACTTCACTTGCCGTGGGGTAACTAAGCCTGCGTGCCACAACTACTGAGTCTGCACTCCAGAGCTGTGAGCCAATAGCAAGAGAAGCTGCTACAACGAGAGAGTAGACCCCGCTTGCCACAGCTGGACAAAGCCCGTGTGCAGCAGCTTTAGAAAGAGAGGCTTCACAGTGTGCGTGGAGTTCTGTTGGGCCTCCTGAGCCTCTGGTGTACCCCATAACAGACGTAGACCCCAAAGTAGGGAAGGGCAGCCGCAGCACAAGGACCCTAAAGGCCCTGCTCCCCAGCCGGGGCACCAGGAGAAGGTGACCACAGGGGCTTCTGTGTGGGGAACATCACAGATCACACGGGGCAGAGAAGGAGATCCTGTAGCTCTGTTCATGAAGCCCTGGGATCCCCCTGAGCTGTGCACTCCTGGAACAGAAAAAGTGTCAACATAGCAAAGGGCTTGCAAACAGAAGTCCAAGTAGACACTGCTCGGGACTCAGACTGGCCCCTGGGGGACACACATGTGAAGCAGACCAGACTAGCACTGCAAAGTCTTTGAAAACTGGCAGCAAAACCCACAACAGATGGCTCAGGACTTGCACAGTGAACCTAGCTGTGTTGACTGCTTGCTAAAACAAAGTAAATCAACATTCCCTGGAAAATTTTAATGGACCCAGTCATAATATTCAGGAGTGCCCCGGATAGAATTCACAATCACTCAACATACATTAAAAGCCAGAAAAACCTTAAAGAGAGAACTCTCAAGGGAAAAGGCAAGCAACCTATAGCAACCTTGAGATGACTCAGATGTTGGAATTATTAGATAATTACTTTAACACAGGGCTTCCCTTATGATTCAGCTGGTAAAGCATCCCCCTGCAATGCAGGAGACCTGGGTTCGATTCCTGGGTTCGATTCCTGGGTTGGGAAGATCCCCTGGAGAAGGGAAAAGCTACCCACACCAGTATTCTGGCCTAGAGAATTCCATGGACTGTATAGTCCCTGAGGTCACAAAGAGTTGGATACGACTAAGTGGCTTTCAGTTTCACTTTAATGGAATTATTATAACCATGCTCCACTAAATAAAGACAAAGGCTCTTGTAACAACTGGAAAGATGCACATTCTCAGTAAAGAATTATTATGTATAAAAAAGAACCAAATGAGAAATTTTAAAACTTAAATATAAAATAACAGAAGGATAAAATTCATTGAAGAAGCTCAGTAGCAGAATGGATATGAAAGATGAAAAAGCAGCAAACTTGAAGATAGATCAATAAAAGTTATCCAGTCTGAAAATAGAAGGAAAAAGATTGAAAAAATAATAATAATCAGAGCCTCCAGACCTGTGAACAATATCAAAGTTTGCAACATTCATAGTGTTGGTGTGAAGGAAAAAGTGGAAACAGATAATTGGTACAGAAAAAAAAAAATGAAGAATAAAGAGACATAACACAAAAAAGACAATCCATGAAAGGAAAAAATGCATAATTAGCCTTTATCAAAATTCAAAACTTT